AGAATTCATGTTTCTGCTTGTCGTTCCTCGCGTCGTCACTCTGACTAGGAAGAATCTGCCAATATGTTTAATGTAAATCATGATGATGATTAAATCTACTAGTTAGTAATTTTAGTAACTATTTGTGGTTAATACAAAAGTTGTATAAAAATACAAAGATGTATGAAACTGTTGGTTATTTCCAATATATATATATATAAAACCAACATTAGAGATCACAGGGCCAAATAAGCCTAGCTGTGACCAACCGTCACATCCTGCCTCCCTGGCCAGCAGCTACCCTCTCACATCAAACACTCTTTGTCTGATTCATACTCGCTCTCACTCTTACTCCCAGTCACTCTTACTCTCAATCACTCTTACTCTCATACTCACTCTTATTCTCACTCTTACTCTCAATCACTTTTACTCTCATACTCGCTCTTACTCTCAATCACTCTTACTCACAATCACTCTTACTCGCAATCACTCTTACTCACAATCACTCCTACTCTCATACTCACTCTTACTCTCACTCCAACTCCCAATCACTCTTACTCTCATACTCTTACTCTCACTCTCAATCACTCTTACTCTTGCTCACTCTTACTCTCAGTCACTCTTACTCACTCTCAGTCACTCTTACTCTCACTCTATACCCACTCTTATACTCACTCTTACTCACTATCAATCACTGTTACTCTCACTCACTGTCAGTCACTCTTACTCTCACTCTTACACACTCTCAGTCACTCCTACTCTCAGTCACTCTTACCCTCCCTCACTCTTACTCCCAGTCACTCTTACTCACTCTTACTCTCACTCACTCTTATTCACTCTCAATCACTCGTACTCACACTCACTTTTTCTCACTCTCACTCACTCTTAGTCACTCTTACTCTGTATCTCAAGAATATATGTTTTTAGTTATATCTAATGGTTTTAAGGACGTCAGAAATACGTATTATGTCAAAAGTTACAGTATTACCTTTGTGGCACCATTTAAAAAGTCCACAAACGTTCTGTCTTTGCTGGGAATGAGATTCGATCGAGACCATTTACATTGTGCAGCAATTAGGTTATTTATAACTGCTAGTATGAGGTTCTTGCTGTCGATCTTCCGGGGGAAGTTTACGGTTGCTTGAAGAACACTTTGAATTACAAAATATTATTCCTCCTATATTTTTTAATGTACTGGTAGCTAGTTGTAATGCTGCTAGTTCTGTTTGTGTGGAGGTCAGCCAGTTGTTTAACCTGACACTGATAGTCTGTGTGTAAATATTATTTCTATAAAACCTACATGCTGCTGCAGTCTGTCCTGTAGAAGATTGGATTGAGCCGTCGGTGTAGACACAGTACTCGTGAGATCTTAAATTTTCTATGGAGGATGCAATTCTTTCACGTGTGATTGCTTTAAGAAGAGCAAGATTCTCATTACCTTTCTTGGTGATGGGCGTGTATGATGCTTGAATGGTGGGGTATAGATATAGGGGAATATCAGAGATAGGTAGATTGCACTTAAAGGAATGTTGAGTTTAATGAGATTATAGGCATTATATTATAGATTATATTCTTACTCAGCCATTTATCATAAAAGGAATGAGTTGGTATAACGGCACCAGTCAATAGGGTGTTAACAGCACTGAATAATTTGTCTCTGATCAATGCAGGAGATGTAGGGTCTCATGACTTTAAGGCAAAAGGTCGTGTTGACTTGCATGATTCTCTCTAGTATGGTTGGAAGCTTCAGTTCTTCCCTCATGTTAATGATTCTAGTGCATCTTGGGGCACCAAGAATTATCCTCATGGCTTCATTCTGTACTACTTCAAGTTTGTCCAACACAGAGGCGGAGAAGTTAATTAGATGCAAGGCAAGATAATCAACTACAAATCTAACAAACATCATACAGAATAATCTAGCATATTTAATATGGATACCAATATTCTTACCAGTAAGTGTTTTCAGTGCTTTAAGTCTTTCTTTTAGCCTACGGTGTAGATCGTTTACATTGTCACTGTTGATACCAACTCCAAGGTATTTGTGTGGCCTACAGATTTCAATGTTCTGGTTGTTGATCTTGAAAGTTATAGGGACATGAGTTTTCTCTTGGGGATGGAGAACTCTGGATTTAGTTATAGAGATAACAAGACCACATTCAATGCTTTTAACAGCGAGTGAATGAAGTAGAGCTTGCAGTCTAGTTTGTGTATTTGCAACATTGCATATATCATCAGCATAACAGATGACGAGTTCGTCAGGTAGTATGGGAATATCAATTGTTCATTTATACATCAGAACATTGAACAGAGTTGGGCTAAGCACTCCACCCTGGGGTGTACCCTAGCTCAAAGGCTGCACAAAGTTTACTTTTGTCGCCCTTGAAAAGGACAGAGGCAGTTCTGTTACTGAGGTAACCCCTGAGCCATGTCAGCAGTCTTACCATAAGTCCAAAAGAGGCTAGTTGTTCTAAGTTTATTTCTCTGTTTGCTGTATCAAAAGCAATATGGAGGTCAATAAATGCCGCCTGAGATCGTGGTCCCTCTCTAATAAAATATTCAGTAAAGCAAGTGTGGGTGCTTTTTCCAGAAAGGAAGCCATACAGGCTAGGAGCAAGGTGGGACCTAATTCGAAACATTAGTCTATCGAGTAAAATTCTCTCAAGAATTTTACATGAAGCTTTACATAAATTAACATGAAGCTTTGCATAATCAGGATGCACGATTCTTTACGGCATTGCAAGTCATTGTTAATGGTACACTGATCTGCATTTTTTCTCTCTCCTTAACGAAGTTCTGTGGAAGGAGCTGTAGCTTTCTCTTATCATGAAAACAATGTTGGAGGGTAATTCATCTGATACGTGAGCACAGGCTAAATGCAAGGAATAACGTGCATTTGATGAGAAATAAAACTGGGATATCTTTCTTCACCAAGATGTAGAGTGAGAGATGAGGTCCACACAGATTTGATGGAGCATCAAATCTGTGTGGTTACCTCCTCTTTCACTGTACACCTTGATGAAGAAAGATATCCGTGTCAACTGCAAAACGCTGCTTCAAATCAACTCCAATATTGCCAGTATAATCTTTAAGATGATGATACAAGCTATCTCATGCTTTGAGGCAGAGCTTGTGACAAACTAGTCACAAAATTTGAGACGAAATCCTATTGTGTCTGTCTTTATAATATCGATCATAGACATATAAATATTCTTCAATCTTCTCATCTATAAGAGTTTTCCTTTGGTCCATCACTACATATTAGTACTTTCCACCAAACAGTTAAGTACTATCATTTCAGGAAGATTGGTTGCCTGCAGAGACATTACCTGGGATAAAGCATTAATGACAATTAAGGTTGGGAAGTCTATCGCCCACTTCCCAGGGGCGATAGACTTAACCTTACCGTGCGGTTAATTTTACTTGCCAATTGAATTTGAAATTGAAATAAGTTTATTGAGGTAAAATACACACAAAGGGATGAGGTAGCTCAAGCTATTCTCACCCCATTGAGTACAACGTGTTAATACATACATAGACACACATCACAAATAAACACATTACCAAACATTCTGAGAGATAAACATATACATTTCCTCCTTCACAAGTAGTATGTTATCAGACGTACACACAAATACTTTTATGACCTAGGTATACTGTATAGACAATTTGCAAGACACCTGCAGATAATTCAACAAAATATTACAATCTTGGTGCAAAATTCTTATATCTCTCAAGAATATCATCAACCTTTCCGTTGTGACACATCCAGGCTATTTGTTCAGGAACAGTCCTTATCTCAGTGTTTCTATATACATTAATCAACGGACAATCAAGAACATAATGGGCCAGGGTGTGAGACCTTAACATACCACATAGTTTACACTTCGTGTCATTATCATGAACATCTATCCCATATTCCCAGTAATATTTGTACCCAAGCCTGAGCCGCATGTACACAGAGTCACTCCAAGCATTTCTCCTTTTACCATAAGTGAAATGGGTGTTTTGACTCACATACATGTAGTGTTGCATGGTTTGACTTCTCTCATACATTATCTCTCTCCTCTCCACTCCTGCCTGTGCCTGAATATTTCTGATTTTGCTTCTTATTTGTCTCATTGTGAATTCACATTCAATGTCAACTTGTGGTTTTGATGTGGCACGTTTGGCCAAGTCATCCGCCACCTCGTTGAGCACTATTCCAACATGAGATGGAATCCACATGAATTTCACACTATAACCTTTCAGCTGTATCTCAGTTATTCTTCTCTTACAGTCCTCAACTATAGACATGCAGACTGGGTTTCGACTGTTTAAGGACTCCAGTGCTCCTCGGCTATCGACAAATACAAAAACATTTTTGTCGTCATGACGTACTTCCTCCAAACACGCCAGAATGGCCTGCAGTTCAGCTTGTGTGGATGATATATAATTACTAAGCCGGAGTTCAATTATCCTGTCCACAGTCCCAAACTCCGTATATTCCCTTATTAGGACACCACACCCTGCCCTGCCATCCTCCGCCACCGACCCGTCGCAATATACATGTAAACTGTTGCCTCTTGGTAACCGAGATATCATGCTTCCATACAAACACCGTAATTGTCCCGGTCAACTTGCCAAGGTTCCGAAGATCAACGACCCCAGGGGGCCCGGTCTCTGACCAGGCCTCCTGCGGTCGTCGGTCTGGTCAACCAGGCAGCTGGACGCGGCTGTGATTTGTACACATTACATTATAAAAGCATAACTAATAACTTATTCAATTTCTTAACATTAGTAGCCCAAATCAGCCGAACCTATTTTAAATTGGACCAAAAAGTCCCAAGTAGCGAGATTAAATATTTAGGAGTGCTGGGTCGTCAAAATTAGCCCAATTCGCTATTTATGGCCCAGTCTGGCAACACTGCAGTCACGGCTACCTCGAGGTACTCTCACCTTTCTAATCAACCAATCAGAGCATTAAGTACTGCGCGCTCACGTTTTCATTGGCTGCCGCATCTGATTGAAGCCACTGGCGAGGCATACTCTCCCCTCACTCTGGAGCGATGTCGCCACTGTGGTAGGCAGGGTGGGGTAAGGAATTTGGGACTTTAGCCTAACGGTTTGCACCGTGGAGTACCACTATACCTACTGAATTCACTGAATTCCGCAGACCACAGAGAAACCTTAGACACCAAACATCTCCGTCCATTCCTAAAGAGGTCGCACCATACAAGCAACCAGTAAGCACTTATAAAAAGAGTGGACATAAGCTTGTGATGAGGGATCCTTCTCTCACACTATTCGTCACACTTCAGGTGGATGGGGATGTACTAATCTCACCTAGAAAACTCAGCGTAATATGTCTATATGTTTTGCAATTCTAAGGTGTTATTTATCATTTTATTGTCCATTATTTGTATTTTCTATTACTCTTATCATTAATTAATATTCCTACAAAATTTATTTTCTTTACTTTTATTAATTCTGCTTTTAATTTTCATAATATTTTTGCCTCTAAGATAAATTCGTTTCTTCTCTAATTAAACAAATAAGTATAGTATTTTACTGTACTTATTTTTTTAGATTTAACATATTATGACCTCTACTCATTTCCACTTTACTTCTCTGTAAAGCATGACAAGTACACTTTAATACATGTACACCGAGCACTGATGTACACTTGGAAGCGTACAACATCCGGCGGCGCTGATGGTGCAGTTCGGCCTCCTAAGGTTTCCCAACGTCAAAAAAACGGTCAATTTAAAGTATCATCTCCTAACCTACCAGAGGACCCAAAACAGAAAACGGAACAGTATGTCACTCTTGCCAGACGCTTCCATTTTCAAGTATGACTATTTTTAGCCTTATGTAACGCATACGAGCAAAAAGCGACGTACTTTGTAGAAAGACAGGTTGTAGGAGGACAGGTTGACCGGTCAATAAAGGACGCTAAGGACCCTCACTTAAATTTTACAAGTTTATAATTCTACACAACATATAAATACATCTATTAGTATTTGTACATTTATTTACAAAGTCCAACTTCACTGGATTTTTGTAGTAGTTTTGTGAATAATTACTTCTTCTGTATACAAAGTATAGTTACAATTCATACACTATTATAAAGTAAATACCCGGTAGTTACAATTTTATTCTCTCTGAGCCGCACCACTGGTCCATATAAGTGATTTTCGTTTCTAAACACTTATATCGATGGTACTGAGGCAATCTATGTTGACAAACTGTTTATTACACTATTTTAATATTTTTAGAGGAATTGGAAAAGAATCATAATTGACCCTCTGAAGTCAGGTTGCATCCAGAGCTGGAATTTTCTTCCTGGGTCTGCAGGACGTCATTGAGGAGCATAGCGTAGGAGATGATGAAGCCGTGGATGGCCAACATCAGGCCGCTGCCGACTCTGTATCCGCCAAAGCACACTACCTGCGGCGGGGCCTCCAGCAGGTTCTCCCTCAACACGTGGAGTTCTGAGTATGGCAGCGCTGCCGGCCTCTTGCGACTGTGTCTCAGATACTGTTTCACTGCCAGGGTCAACATCTCGTGCTGTGGGAGAGAGAGAGAAAGTTATTATTAACATCTATATTGACGAAATTAATTACTAAAATTAGTACAATTTTGCCTAATCTGAGGATTACAATTAAGTCTTATTAAAGTGAGGATAATCTTGGTATCGGGGGGGGGGGGGGAGGGGAGGGGGGTAAAAATAGCCTAAGCTACTCTATCCCTTTGAGATGTATTTTTTTCTTGAATCAGTGAATCTTGGTATTCACTGTCACGCAGGACAGAGGATCATACACAAGACAATAGGTCTAAACTGTAGGCTGAAGTCCATATATATCATCGTTACAATCAATGTTTTAATGTATCAATATGTTAAAACAGCTTTCTATTGTGCACTGCCACACAAGGGCAGGGATGGGTTCATAAGTGATGTAGCTTAGAAGTAATATAAATAAAATTCTTCTTCATTCTTTAAAATGGACAAGCAAATTTTGGAAAAATTGTTAGAATGTCGTCCAGAACACCTGAGTCAATGAAATAGTTACACAGTTGTTGGTACAATTGGCCAGGAGGTCAAAAGTCTTTTACGGTTTCACATTCAACAATATTGTGTTCTAGTGAATGCATTAAAGGTTTATCACAGAGTTTACACTCTGAATATTCTGGTAGTGGCTCAGCCTCACTAACCTGCCAGATGTGTCTATAGCCAAGGTGAATTACCGCAATGACTACATCACATTGCCTGGTCCGGTTGCTGTGTTGACCATACAAATACCTATTATTACATAAGTTGCCATAGCTTTTAATACTGCAGCTTTCAGGTCTTTCAGCATTTCTTAGTTCTTCTAAATCTGAATTAATTTCTTTAATTTGTATGTTTCTAATAATTGCATTAGATAGTGTAAAGTCATAATCGGTGTTTTCTTACCTGCAAGCCTCATTGGCCAATCGATCTACAAAGTCATCTTTACCAACTCCAACATGGGATGGGATCTACACAAATTTTATACAATAGTTATTATCATTGGCAAAAATTACATTCCATTTTATATTACAAGCTACTTCAGACATACACTGTGATGGGTTATTTAAGGACTGCAGAGCACTTTTAGAGTCACAGAATATCACTCCACCACCACTGAGCTTAAGGTATTCAGTGGCTAGATGAATACCCAATTGCTCAGTCTGTGTCGTGCTTGCCCAGTTGTTAGTCTCTGTGTACTAGACATGATCATTTCATTCCCTTTATATACTGCACATGCACAACCTGTTTTACCAGTGCCTAACTGCACAGAGCCATCAGTAAGGGCATAGGATTCACTTGGTTTGGGATTTTGAAGATGACTGTCAATAGTTTCTAATGTTATACATCTCATAGTTTCAGTGTTATACATTTGTTTTACACTGATGGGGGTAGAATGCAAAGAGACCTGCACGTCTTTCCAAGGGAGAATATAGTGGACAGTCTTATCAGGACTAAGAGACACATTCCGTTTCAGAAGATTATAGGCACAACAACTGAGCCACACACTGTAAGGAGCTTTTTACGGCGGATTGAGGGAACAGTCAGAATTGTTTATAATGGATCTCAATTTAATTTGAATAGTACTGGGGGGACCATTATTCTTCAAAGTTTTGACACAAAACATAGTACTATGTAGAACTATTCTTTCGTAAATGGAAGGCAATTTTAGTTCCTTTCTCATGTTAACAATTCTGACAGTTCTAGGACAACCCAGGATGATGCGCATGGCATCATTCTGTACTACATCTAGGCCTTGTAATTGTTTAGGAGAAAAATTAAGAAGATGCAAGGCATAATAATCACCAACAGATCGTATAAAGCCAAAATAAAAATTACGGGTATATTTTATGTCAATGCCACATCCTTTGCCCACAAAAGTTTTGAGAGGTTTAAGACGCTCAACAAGTTTTTTGCGCAGGTTGCTGATGAGATTTGTATCATTAACCTCGACTCCAAGATATTTATAAGACTCACAAGTCTCCAGAGAGAGAAGTGGCCATGTTTAACGCAGAGTGAAGTGTGTACTCACCGAGTTGTGCTTGTGGGGGTTGAGCTCTGGCTCTTTGGTCCCGCCTCTCAACCGTCAATCAACTGGTGTACAGGCTCCAGAGCCTACTGGGCTCTATCATATCTACATTTGAAACTGTGTATGGAGTCAGCCTCCACCACATCACTTCCTAATGCATTCCATTTACTAACTACTCTGACACTGAAAAAGTTTTTTCTAATGTCTCTGTGGCTCATTTGGGTACTCAGGTTCCACCTGTGTCCCCTTGTGCGTGTGCCACCCATCCATCCTTGGCCACCTTGTCAATTCCCCTGAGAATTTTGTATGTGGTGATTATGTCTTCCCTAGCTCTTTTGTCTTCCAACGACGTGAGGTGCAGTTCACGTAGTCTGTCCTCATAAGTCATGCCTCTTAGTTCTGGGACTAGCCTAGTGGCACAGCTCTGAACTTTTTCCAGCTTCGTCTTGTGCTTGACTAGGTACGGGCTCCATGCTGGAGCCGCATACTCCAGGATTGGCCTTACATATGTGGTATACAAGGTTCTGAAGGATTCCTTACACAGGTTTCTGAAAGCAGTTCTGATGTTAGCCAGCCTCGCATAGGCCGCTGATGTTATTCTTTTGATGTGGGGCTTCGAGAGACAGGTTTGGCGTGATATCAACTCCCAGATCTTTCTCTCTGTCCGTTGCGTGCAGGACTTCACCTCCCATTCGGTATTCAGTGATTGGCCTCCTAGTTCCTGCTCCCAGTTTCATTACCTTACATTTACTTGAGTTGAACTTTAGTAGCCATTTGTCGGACCTTTCCTTCAGTTTGTCTAGGTCATCTTGTAGCGTCATACTATCCTCCTCTGTTTCAATCCTCCCCATAACTTTTGCATCATCATCAAACATCGAGAGGAACAAGTCAATTCCTTCTGGGAGATCATTTACATATATCAGAAACAGTATAGGTCCAAGGACTGATCCCTGTCTGACTCCACTGGTGACTCCCCGCCACTCCGAGACCTCACCTCTCACGGTGACTCGTTGTGTCCTGTTGCTTAGGTACTCTCTTATCCAGTGGAGTACCTTCCCTTTCACTCCTGCCTGCATCTCCAGTTTGTGCACTAGTCTTTTATGTGGTACTGTGTCAAAAGCTTTCTGGCAGTCCAGAAATATGCCATCTGCTCAGCCCTCTCTCTCTTGCCTGATTTTTGTTGCCTGGTCATAAAACTTAATTAATACTGTTAGGCATGATTTACCATCTCTGAGCCCATGCTGATGTTGTGTTACAAAGTTCTTCCGCTCCAGATGTTCCACTAGCTTTTTTTGCACAATCCTTTCCATCATCTTGCATGGAATGTAAGTTAGGGACACTGGCCTGTAGTTTAGTATCTCCTGCCTATCACCCTTCTTATATATTGGGACTACATTGGACATCTTCCAAATTTTTGGCAGTTCACCTGTTACAAGTGACTTCTTGTACACCATGGAGAGTGGTAGGCACAGAGCTTCTGCTCCTTCCTTTAGAATCCATGGTGAGATTCCATCCGGGCCTATAGCCTTTGTCACGTCCATATCTAGCTGATGCTTCCTCACCTCCCCACTAGTAATCACAAACTCATCTACTGGTGTCTGGTTTGAAGTTCGCCCCCTTTTCTCTGGGACTTCTCCTTGCTCTTAGATGAAGACTTCCTGGAATTTCTTATTGAGTTCCTCGCACACTTCCTTGTCGTTTGTAGTGAATCTTTATGCCCCTATCCTCAGTTTCATTACCTGTTCCTTCACTGTTGTTTTCCTCCTAATGTGGCTATGCAGCAGTTTGGGGTTGAGTCTTTGCTCTGTTCGATATGTCATTTTCATATTGCCTCTCTACCTCTCTTCTCACCCTGACGTATTCATTCCTGGCGCTCTGGCACCTTTCTCTGCTCTCTGTTCTGTTGTTTCTATAGTTTCTCCAAGCCCTTTTACTTAGCTGCTTTGCTAGCTTGCAACTCTGATTAAACCATGGGTTTCTCATCTCCATTTCATTTTTTTCATTTTTAACTGGGACGAACTTGTCTGCTGCCTCCTTACACTTCTGTGTGATGTAGTCCATCATGTCTTGAACCGTCTTTTCTCTGAGCTCTGTTTTCCAAGCTATTTCAGCTAGGAATTTTCTCACCTCCTCATAGTTTTCCTTCCGGAATGCCTGCCTCTTGCTCTCTGGTCCCTTCCTTGAGTACATTAACCCTTCTTCGACCAGATATTCAAACAACAGTACACTGTGATTACTCATACCCACGGGGGCTTCAGGACCGATTTCCCTCATGTCTGAATCGTTCAGAGTGAATACTAGGTCGAGTCTTGCTGGTTCATCATTGCCTCTCATTCTCGTGGGACCCTTGACATGCTGACTTAAAAAGTTTCTAGTCGTCACTTCCAGCAGTTTCGTTCTCATTGTTTCCTCACCTCAATGTGTTTCCCAGTTTTCTCAGTCTATCCTTCCATGATTAAAGTCCCCCATGATGAGCAGATGGGATCGATTTCTACAGGCAGCAGCGGCGGCTCTCTCAATGATAATGTTAACTGCCATGTTGTTTCTGTCATACTCTTGCCTGGGTCTTCTTTCATTTGGTGAAGGGTTATATATTTCTGCTACTACTACTACTCTTGGTCCTCCTATCATCATGGTGCCTGTTATGAAGTCTCTGAGTCCTTCGCATCCCAGAATAACCATCTCCTCGAAACTCCATTCCTTTCTCATCAGTAGAGCCACTCTGCCTCCTCCCCTTCCTTCCCTCTCTTTCCTTATTACAGTATAGTCCTGGGGAAACACCGTATTCGTAGTGAATCCTGAGAGTTTTGTTTCTGTGAGTCCAAGTACATCTGTGTTTACTTCTTGAGTTCTTTCCCTAAGTTCACTAGCCTTGTTTGTAATCCCATCTATGTTCGAGTACATGACCTTGAAGCTGACTCTCTTCTGTCCATTCTCAGTTTCTGTTGATTCCATTGGAGTTGGAGGGCAAGAGGTGTCTGGGATGGGTGAGCCTAGAAAGGAGGACCAGGGGACGGGAGGTCTGGGGTGTGAGGGGTCTGGGAGGATCTGGAACAGGAGGGCTAGGGGGGTCTGACGTGATGCGGCTGAGGGGGTCCGGGGTTGGGAGTTAGTGGGGGCATGGGATGGGGGAGCTGGAGGGGCATGTGGTGGGAGGTCACGGGTTGGGGTATGCAGCATAGACTGGGGTGGGTTGACAGGGAGGTCAAGGGTTGGGGAGGGGAGCCTGGAGAGGGGAGGCAGGGAGGGAGGGGGGGGGGTAGGGAGAAGAGCTTAGGGTAGGGAAACTGGGAAGGGCACAAGCTGGAGAAACAGGGAAGGGCATGGGGGGGGGAACATGGGGGGGGGGAACATGGGGGGGGACATGGGGGGGGAACATGGGGGGGTCTGGGGTCAGGGAACATGGGGGGCATGGTCTGAAGGGGGACTTTACTGTCTGGGGAGGTGCAGGTGATTTGGGGGGATGGCTGAGGGGTTGGTTGGTGGGATGCTTCTGTTACAATCCTCCCTGGGGGTGCTGGCCTGCTGGTGGGGGGGGGGATTCCCACTCCCCTCTGAGGTTCCTGGAGGCACTGAGCTGAGACCTGTGGCTCCCATATCCCCATCCCTTTCTCTGCGCCTCCTCCGTGCTTCTGCAGCCTTCCTTCTCTCCTCCCATGTCATGTCCCTTTGCAGAAAGACGTCTTCGTATCCCCCTAACCTCACAAGTCTGCTCTTCCTGGATAGGATTTTCTCCTTTGTTGCCTCGTTAGTGAGCACTATCTTTATCAATCGTTTCCTTTCCCTCTTGTAGATGCCCAGCCTGAAAACCTTCTCTATGTTGCCTTTTGCCTCCTCCATATTCAGTGCCTCCAAGATCTCTGTCATAGTTGCTCGGTCCCTCCTTCTCCACTCCTCCCGATTGGATCCCTCTGGTTCCTGTACTCCTACAACTATAAGTGTTCGTTTCCTCTCCAGCATTTGGTCAGTGCATTTTGCAGCTTCCTGTGAGATAGCTGCTTTCATAGCTGCTGCCTCTAAAGCGGCCTTGGCACCTGGGCTGTTCTGCAGTATTTCTGCAAAAGAGTCCGCCTGGAAGGAACCTTCCATCAGCTTCGTCTCGTGTTTCCAGGAGGTTGCGTACCCTGTGCTGGTTTGAATTGTGATTTTCCCTGAGTCTCTTTATCTCCTCTCTGGCTTCCTCTAACTCACTCCTTTGGCTCGTTATTAATGCTTGCATTTCCTGTAAGTCTCTGCCAAACCCCTCTTTCATATCCTGCAGGTCTCTGCTGAATTCCATTTCCATTGCCTGCAGGTCTCTGCCGAATCCCCCTAATGTCTGGTTGAGCCATTCAAAGGTAGTATCCATCATTCTCCCCTGTCCCTGTCGGGGTGATGTCCCTCCATCATTTTCCCTGGCTGAGGGAAAAAACGTCCTGGCTTTTTCTTGTGCGTGCGTTTGTGTTTTGTATGTAAGTGTGTTTGTCGTATGTGTGTGTTTGTGCGTATGTGTGCGAGTGCGTGCGTGCGTGTGTGTGTGTGTGTTTGTAGGGGTGTGGATACGTTGGAAACTGGTTGTTGTTGTTGTTAAAGATTCGCTACCTGGAACAAAGTTCCATGTAGCACGGGCTATGGTGAGCCCGTAACCGTGTGGAAACTGGGGGTGGGGATGGGTCGGAGATGTCACTTCAGGTCAGGTGGTCAGATGATGGGAGGGAGTAAGGCAGCTGGAAAAGGGGGGGGGGTCTCACTGTGTGGGAGGGGTTTAGGTGTAGGTTATCTTGAGATGATTTCGGGGCTTAGTGTCCCCACAGCCCGGTCCTCGACCAGGCCGCCACCTCCAGGAAGCAGCCCGTGACAGCTGACTATCTCCCAGGTACCTATTTACTGCTAGGTAACAGGAGCATCAGGGTGAAAGAAACTCTGCCCATTGTTTCTCGACAGCGCCCTGGATCCAACCCGGGGGGGGGGGGGAGGATATCTGGTATGCTAGAGGAAGTGTGATAGGGGGGGGGGGAGTACTGTGTGTGTGTGTGTGTGTGTGTGTGTGTGTGTGTGTGTGTGTGTGTACTCCCCTAGTTGTACTCACCTAGTTGTGCTTGCGGGGGTTGAGCTCTGGCTCTTTGGTCCCGCCTCTCAACCGTCAATCAACAGGTGTACAGATTCCTGAGCCTATTGGGCTCTATCATATCTACACTTGAAACTGTGTATGGAATCAGCCTCCACCACATCACTTCCTAATGCATTCCATTTGTCAACCACTCTGACACTAAAAATGTTCTTTCTAATATCTCTGTGGCTCATTTGGGCGCTCAGTTTCCACCTGTGTCCCCTAGTGCGTGTGCCCCTTGTGTTAAATAGCCTGTCTTTATCTACCCTATTAATTCCATTGAGAATCTTGAATGTGGTGATCATGTCCCCCCTAACTCTTCTGTCTTCCAGCGAAGTGAGGTTTAATTCCCGTAGTCTCTCCTTGTAGCTCATACCTCTCAGCTCGGGTACTAGTCTGGTGGCAAATCTTTGAACCTTTTCCAGTTTAGTCATATCCTTGACTAGATATGAACTCCATGCTGGGGCTGCATACTCCAGGATTGGCCTGACATATGTGGTATACAAAGTTCTGAATGATTCTTTACACAAATTTCTGAATGCCGTTCGTATGTTGGCCAGCCTGGCATATGCCGCTGATGTTATCCTCTTGATATGTACTGCAAGAGACAGGTCTGGCGTGATATCAACTCCCAAGTCTTTTTCTTTCTCTGACTCCTGAAGAATTTCCTCTCCCAGATGATACCCTGTATTTGGCCTCCTGCTCCCTACACCTATCTTCATTATATTACATTTGGTTGGGTTAAACTCTAACAAACACTTGTTCGATCATTCCTGCAGTTTGTCTAGGTCTTCTTGAAGCCTCAAACAGTTCTCTTCTGTCTTAATCCTTCTCATAATTTTGGCATCGCCCGCAAACATTGAGAGAAATGAATCTATACCCTCCGGGAGATCATTTACATATATCAGAAACAAGATAGGACCGAGTACAGAGCCCTGTGGGACTCCACTGGTGACTTCACGCCAATCGGAGGTCTCACCCCTCACCGTAACTCTCTGCTTCCTATTGCTTAGGTACTCCCTTATCCACTGGAGCACCTTACCAGCTACACCTGCCTGTCTCTCCAGCTTATGTACCAGCCTCTTATGTGGTATTGTGTCAAAGGCTTTCCGACAATCCAAGAAAATGCAGTCCGCCCAGCCTTCTCTTTGTTGCTTAATCTTTGTCACTTGGTCGTAGAATTCTATTAAACCCGTCAGGCAAGATTTACCCTCCCTGAACCCATGTTGGCGATTTGTCACGAAGTCCCTTCTCTCCAGATGTGTTACCAGGTTTTTTCTTACGATCTTCTCCATCACCTTGCATGGTATACAAGTCATGGACACTGGCCTGTAGTTCAGTGCCTCTTGCCTGTCACCCTTTTTGTATATTGGGACCACATTCGCTGTCTTCCATATTTCTGGTAGGTCTCCCGTCTCTAGTGACCTACTATACACTATGGAGACTGGTAAGCAAAGTACCTCTGCACACTCTTTCAGTACCCATGGTGAGATCCCGTCTGGACCAACAGCCTTTCTAACATCCAGGTTCAGCAGGTGTCTCTTGACCTCCTCTCTCGTTATTTCGAACCCTTCCATGGCCGCCTGGTTTACCTCCCTTTCTCCTAGCACAGTGACTTCACCTTGTTCTATTGTGAAGACCTCCTGGAACCTCTTGTTGAGTTCTTCACACACCTCTTTGTCATTCTCCGTATACCTGTCTAAGTTCTAAGTTTCAATATCTGTTCTTTCACTGTTGTTTTCCTTCTGATGTGACTGTGGAGTAGCTTTGGTTCGGTCTTGGCTTTGTTTGCTATATCATTTTCATAACTTTTCTCTGCTTCTCTTCTCACCCTGACGTACTCATTCCTGGTTCTCTGGTATCTCTCCCTGCTTTCTGGTGTTCTGTTATTCCGGAAGTTCCTCCACGCCCTTTTGTTCAGTTTCTTCGCTTCCATACATGCCCTATTATACCATGGATTCTTCTGTTGCTTCTCGGATTTTTCCCTTTGGACCGGGATGAACCTGTTTACTGCCTCCTGACACTTTCGGGTGACATAGTCCATCGTATCATCTTAGTCCATCATAGTCCAGAGTGTCTTACCACTACACCACGGAGACTGGTGATTTCTTTGAGTTTTGTTTTCGACTGCCCAGTGATGTGTTTTTCTTATATCTTTTTTTTAAGGGAAGATAGACCATCTTTCGTGTGTTTTTATGTATGTGTTTCTCATCACATCTAATCTTTTTCTTCTAACTTTTTATTAATTTTACATGAACTAATTCTGTTGTTATTTTCACATTTTATCTTTTTTTTAAGTTATCTTGCTGTTTCAGTTGTCTTGCTGTTAAAGTTATCTTTCTTTTGTCGATAATATAACCCATACTACTGGTTATTGCTTAAAGTCTCATATAATGTTGAATTTGGGTGGATATAAATGGGAGCTGCCCAGCATGGACCAAAAGTCTTTCTTCTGTTCCCTTATTCCCATGATCCTAAATATCTCTTTGAAATGCCTTTATTTTGAACTTAAACTATACAAAAAATAATCAAATCAATATAAAAAGATAAAGGTTTATAAATTAAACAATAGAATTGCACTTACTTCATCCATTAGCTCTTGGGATTTCTTGCAAATTAGTCCCATGTGGAACACGGAGATTGATAACGGAATCACATACATGATTTCATGGAACCCGTGCAGGAGTTTGGCTGTACAGAAGATGGCACTCACTATGATTATGAAAAAATTAATTCCCACGACGTATGTTAGAAAACCATTGCTTAAACTTGTAAATATATCTTGTAGCCTGTCAACATAATCACCAATCACTTTGACATGGTCTTCGTATATAATAGTTTCATTCGTCACGTTGCACAGTTGACTCTGTAGTTCTAAGCTCATGTTCTTGTAAACCATTCGAAGCCATTCAATAAAAATGACTGAAAACCATGTTGATATACAGGGCAGAGTTAGATAGCTAAACTGCATGATAAAGAATGGCCACTCTTGCTTCACTGCCTGCCACTCAACCACTTCAGTCAAGCCGTAGGTCCAGGCAACAATGAAGGCGACGATGGAGAGGATTAGCGTAACGATAGGGAGCGTTCTGAAGAGCGCCTCAGGACTCGATGACTTCTTCTTGTAAGCCATGTGAGACGCTGAGTTAGAAATGACTGCTTTCTGAGGGCGACTTGGTATGCGTACACTGAGAGGAGTCTCAAACCCGACATCGAGTTCTTGAAGACTTACTATCTCCTCCAGGATGTCCGGAAGACACTTGGTGACCAGTTTGAGCGAGTAGGTCTTGATTGCAGGGATGACCGCGAAGCCCAGGATAAACAAGGACGATTCGATAACGTTGTTTACGTCGTCGGGACCAGTGGCAGTATGAAAAATTAGCTTCCCCAAGAAGGCGACGAAGAGGCCCAGCATGGGCCACACGAACCAAAATGTGTAGAAGAGAAAGAACCGGATTCTCCGCACCCTGTAACACTTCTCGCCCTCGTCCCATCTTATGAGGAACAAACCCAAGATTTTGAAGGCTAAGAAGGTCTTCTTGTTTACATCTTCCAAACGAAGTAGAGGTTTCTTTCTCCTTGTTCCACATTGATTCTCACTCTCGACGCGTGTTTTAGGCATCATTTTGATATATATTCCAATGCGTATTATGTCTCCTAATTAAGAGAATGTCGTCATTCTGCAATATTGAAAACATTTTTAAGATAAATATTCATATAAAATAATATTAATTTCTGAGCATTATTATAAAGACATTTAATTTGGTCAAGAATCAGTCCTCACATTAATTAGTAATAGAAAAGGGACCATTTTGTAATGGTGAAATACACAATCATACAATCACAAACCCATTTAACACCATTAAGACTATATCGGAATCACTAGGCCTACCCTGTCATACTTATTATGACAGGATAGTAATGTCATACTAATGGTACCCTACCATTAAAACCACTTCGTCACCATTAGAACTATTTCAACACCATTAGAACTACTTCAACTTCAATTAGTGCATTATAAGCACTTTACCCCCATTAGAAGCAAAATGTTAACACTAGAATATTCTCTACACCTTTAGAACCCCCTTATCACCCTTAGAACCACATCGACACCATTAGAGTTACTTTGTCACACCACTACAACCACCACTACAACCACCTCACCACCACTATAACCACCTCATCACCACTACAACCATCTCATCACCACTACAACCACCTAATCACCACTACAACCACCTCACCACCACTATAACCACCTCATCACCACTACAACCATCTCATCACCACTACAACCACCTCATCACCACTACAACCACCTAACCAATACAACCACCTCATCACCACTACAACCACCTCATCACCACTACAACCACCTCATCACCACTACAACCACCTAACCAATACAACCACCTCATCACCACTACAACCACCTCATCACCACTACAACTACCTCATCACCACTACAACCACCTAACCAATACAACCACCTCATCACCACTACAACCACCTAACCAATACAACCACCTCATCACCACTACAACCACCTCTTCACCACTAGAACCACCTCATCACCACAGGAACCACCTCATCACCACTAGAACCACCTCATCACCACAAGAACCACCTCATCACCACAAGAACCACCTCATCACCACTAGAACCACCTCATCACCACAGGAACCACCTCATCACCACTACAACCACCTCATCACCACTAGAACCACCTCATCACCACTAGAACCACCTCATCACCACAAGAACCACCTCATCACCACTAGAACCACCTCATCACCACAAGAACCACCTCATCACCACAAGAACCACCTCATCACCACAAGAACCACCTCATCACCACTAGAACCACCTCATCACCACAGGAACCACCTCATCACCACTACAACCACCTCATCACCACTACAACCACCTCATCACCACTAGAACCACCTCATCACCACTAGAACCACCTCATCACCACTACAACCACCTCATCACCACTAGAACCACCTCATCACCACAAGAACCACCTCATCACCACAGGAACCACCTCATCACCTCAAGAACCACCTCATCACCACTACAACCACCTAACCAATACAACCACCTCATCACCACTACAACCACCTCTTCACCACTAGAACCACCTCATCACCACTACAACCACCTCATCACCACAAGAACCACCTCATCACCACAAGAACCACCTCATCACCACAAGAACCACCTCATCACCACAAGAACCACCTCATCACCACTAGAACCACCTCATCACCACTAGAACCACCTCATCACCACTAGAACCACCTCATCACCACTAGAACCACCTCATCACCACAAGAACCACCTCATCACCACAAGAACCACCTCATCACCACTAGAACCACCTCATCACCACTAGAACCACCTCATCACCACTAGAACCACCTCATCACCACTAGAACCACCTCATCACTACAAGAACCACCTCATCACCACTAGAACCACCTCATCACCACAAGAACCACCTCATCACCACTAGAACCACCTCATCACCACTAGAACCACCTCATCACCACTAGAACCACCTCATCACCACTACAACCACCTCATCACCACAAGAACCACCTCATCACCACTAGAACCACCTCATCACCTCAAGAACCACCTCATCACCACAAGAACCACCTCATCACCACAAGAACCACCTCATCACCACTAGAACCACCTCATCACCTCAAGAACCACCTCATCACCACAAGAACCACCTCATCACCACAAGAACCACCTCATCGCCACAAGAACCACCTCATCGCCACAAGAACCACCTCATCACCACTAGAACCACCTCATCACCACTAGAACCACCTCATCACCACAAGAACCACCTCATCACCACAAGAACCACCTCATCACCACTAGAACCACCTCATCACCACAAGAACCACCTCATCACCACAAGAACCACCTCATCACCACAAGAACCACCTCATCACCACAAGAACCACCTCATCACCACAAGAACCACCTCATCACCACAAGAACCACCTCATCACCACAAGAACCACCTCATCACCACTAGAACCACTTGGTCAGCAAGGGGGTTGCAACTTAACCTAATTCGACGAATATTTTGCTCAATGTAATATTTAAGGTAATTTTGAAGGTAATATTTAAGGTAATATATAAGGTTAAGAGATGTGTACTTTAGTTACGTAATTATGTGACAGGTTACGGGGTCATGGGTATTGATTTCGCTGACACGGAAGATGTACTGATGGTCGCTGTACTCCTATTGGGTCTCACTGCACTTCTAGTAATGCTCACTGTATTCCCACTGGAGTACTGTATACTCTCCCACTGGAACACACACAGTACTCCCGCTGGAGCATGTAAACTACTCCCACTGGAACACACACAGTAGCCCCACTGGAGCACGCAGAGTACTACCTCAAAATCTCTAAGTGTACTTCACCGAATCTCAGTAGTAATCCCTACTCTGATTCTGATATGTTATCGTCCATTCCCGAGATAACAGGAAGGTGCACATTGGCTTCTGATAAACACGACACTTACCCATTGACATAATAGGTGTTTACGTTATAAAATATATGGTGGGCTTGCTATGAGGGACTGGTACTATTAAGGGGTAAGGGTAGTTAGAAGACAGAGTTATCAAATATGGGAGAGCTAAAAGGCCCGGCCCCCAAAATAAACTATCCACAGTAATAATAACTTGCTACTAGACCATATATATCAGTCTAAGGGTTGATCAATGCACTCCCACACAGGAAGAAGGGATACTCTGTTCTGATGTGCTGACTGAAGAGGAAAAAGAAGCTGTAATAAAGCACTACAACCGGTATGTAGACATACTTGCTTTCCTGAAACTGCAGACTGATAAAGTACAAAAGAACAATGGCGGCCTCTGAATCTCATAAGAACAAGTACAGTGTCATCAAGATACTCAGTTGGAATATTGCTTCTCTTAGAAAACGGTATTCAGATCTCCATCATAAGGTTATGACTGAAGACATAGATATTGTCTGCCTCCAGGAAACCCTAACTCCCGCAGGTAAAACCCCGCAGAATTTGCCTAGTTATCAGTGTTATAATCCCAGATCAAAAAATCACTGTACCCACATTTTGCTTCCAGTAGATGAACGACATATGAGATTCAGAAACAAGTAGTGTATTGTGAGGACTAATAATAAACAGAAGCTCCCCTATGACTCTGTAATATCCCCATTGGCCAAACTATTATGTATTAACGACAAGACCTACCATTAATGTATGATGACTTACTGTAAATATGTAGCTCTTGTAATAGCACTTTCTCAGTAACTAGCTGACATTGTATCTATAAGGTGTGAAGGATTGAAGAAATTGTTTATGTAATAATCTAAGATGAGGTCTGATAAAGACCTTTTGTGCCCTCTGTAATGCTTTTGCGCTACCGCTCACAGGATGAGTATGGGGTGCACAATAAACTAGCCGCCTTCGGCGGCAACAAGTAAAAAAGTAAGTAAGTCTGTTCTAATTTACTTATTTATTAACCCCTTAACAGCCCCTCCCCATATACATTCACACCAATAACAATAATAATAATTACTTTACCACCCTATCTTACGTTAAAGCCTTGGTCCACGTAGGCAGGATACAAGGTTTACACTGAGAACAAGCTAGGGTAAAGTACTACTGGATAAGCACTGAAGCTGGATGCAGCTTAGGGTAATAAAACCACGTGGGACCCTAATACAAAACACAACACTTAGGGGGTACCCAAAACACTGGCAAATACTACCCCCAGGTCTCACCAATATTTACTACCAGAGTAGGCACACTTAAAAACGCCCCGTACTTAACTTAATGGTACAGGAACTTCAGGTAAGGGAAATAAGTAAGAGGAGAAGGGAGGGGAGTAGGGGTGCAGCCACAGAGTAGGTCTCGTCCCCACGAACGCCAGCCAGAACCGCTGCCCACTGGATGGGGGGCGGTGTGCAGGATAAACATATAAATGTTGACACTAGCTCTCCACATATGTCAGTTGCTTAATTTAGAACCTGTACCTGAGGTCGATCTCGAACCCATTGTTGATGTGATGACTTATATTGAATTTTGTAACTAGCTCATCAAGATTGTAACTTGCTTAGCTAAATGAATTGTGGGGTTCAGTCCCTGAGCCCATTATGTGCCTCTGTAACCCTTTCCACTACCGCCCAAAAGATGGGTATGGGGTGCATAATAAATGAACTAAACTTAACTACGTATTTGTATGGTCAGCACAGTAACCGGACCAAGCTACGTGATATAGTCATTGTGCAAAATCGCTTCTGGCACATCTGGCAGGTTAGTGAGGCTGAGCCACTACCAGAATACTCAGATTGTAAACTCTGTGATAAACCTTTAATGCATTCACTAGAACACTATATTGATGAATGTAAAACCGTAAAAGACTTTAGTCCTCCTGGCCTCTTGTACCACCAACTGTGTAACTATTTTATTGACTCAGGTGTTCTGGACGACATTCTAACAATTTATCCTAAATTTGCTTGTTCATATTAAAAAATGAAGAACAGTTTTATTTATATTACTTCTATGCTGCATCACGTATGAACCCATCCCTGCCCTTGTGTGGCAGTACACAATAGAAAGTTGTTTTTACATATTCATACATTAAATCATTGATTATAACCATGATATATATGTGCTTCAGCCTACAGTTTAGACCTATTGTCTTGTGTATGACCCTCTGTCCTGCGTGACAGTGAATACCAGCATTATCCTCACTTTAATAAGACTTAATTAAAATCCTCAGGTTAGGCAAAATTGTAATTAGTCTTGTCAATAAAGATGTTAATAATAAAATACGAAGCCAAGTGTTCCGTGGGTAGACTCAGGCTGCCTCACCTCACGTCCCTATTGTCACTGTTAGGTAGATACTGGTTGGTAAGCCTTAGTGATTGTGAGACTCAGGCTGCCTCACCTCACGTCCCTATTGTCACTGTTAGGTAGATACTGGTTGGTAAGCCTTAGTGATTGTGAGACTCAGGTTGCCTCACCTCACGTCCCTATTGTCACTGTTAGGTAGATACTGGTTGGTAAGCCTTAGTGATTGTGAGACTCAGGCTGCCTCACCTCACGTCCCTATTGTCACTGTTAGGTAGATACTGGTTGGTAAGCCTTAGTGATTGTGAGACTCAGGCTGCCTCACCTCACGTCCCTATTGTCACTGTTAGGTAGATACTGGTTGGTAAGCCTTAGTGATTGTGAGACTCAGGCTGCCTCACCTCACGTCCCTATTGTCACTGTTAGGTAGATACTGGTTGGTAAGCCTTAGTGATTGTGAGACTCAGGCTGCCTCACCTCACGTCCCTATTGTCACTGTTAGGTAGATACTGGTTGGTAAGCCTTAGTGATTGTGAGACTCAGGCTGCCTCACCTCACGTCCCTATTGTCACTGTTAGGTAGATACTGGTTGGTAAGCCTTAGTGATTGTGAGACTCAGGCTGCCTCACCTCACGTCCCTATTGTCACTGTTAGGTAGATACTGGTTGGTAAGCCTTAGTGATTGTGAGACTCAGGCTGCCTCACCTCACGTCCCTATTGTCACTGTTAGGTAGATACTGGTTGGTAAGCCTTAGTGATTGTGAGACTCAGGCTGCCTCACCTCACGTCCCTATTGTCACTGTTAGGTAGATACTGGTTGGTAAGCCTTAGTGATTGTGAGACTCAGGCTGCCTCACCTCACGTCCCTATTGTCACTGTTAGGTAGATACTGGTTGGTAAGCCTTAGTGATTGTGAGACTCAGGCTGCCTCACCTCACGTCCCTATTGTCACTGTTAGGTAGATACTGGTTGGTAAGCCTTAGTGATTGTGAGACTCAGGCTGCCTCACCTCACGTCCCTATTGTCACTGTTAGGTAGATACTGGTTGGTAAGCCTTAGTGATTGTGAGACTCAGGCTGCCTCACCTCACGTCCCTATTGTCACTGTTAGGTAGATACTGGTTGGTAAGCCTTAGTGATTGTGAGACTCAGGCTGCCTCACCTCACGTCCCTATTGTCACTGTTAGGTAGATACTGGTTGGTAAGCCTTAGTGATTGTGAGACTCAGGCTGCCTCACCTCACGTCCCTATTGTCACTGTTAGGTAGATACTGGTTGGTAAGCCTTAGTGATTGTGAGACTCAGGCTGCCTCACCTCACGTCCCTATTGTCACTGTTAGGTAGATACTGGTTGGTAAGCCTTAGTGATTGTGAGACTCAGGCTGCCTCACCTCACGTCCCTATTGTCACTGTTAGGTAGATACTGGTTGGTAAGCCTTAGTGATTGTGAGACTCAGGCTGCCTCACCTCACGTCCCTATTGTCACTGTTAGGTAGATACTGGTTGGTAAGCCTTAGTGATTGTGAGACTCAGGCTGCCTCACCTCACGTCCCTATTGTCACTGTTAGGTAGATACTGGTTGGTAAGCCTTAGTGATTGTGAGACTCAGGCTGCCTCACCTCACGTCCCTATTGTCACTGTTAGGTAGATACTGGTTGGTAAGCCTTAGTGATTGTGAGACTCAGGCTGCCTCACCTCACGTCCCTATTGTCACTGTTAGGTAGATACTGGTTGGTAAGCCTTAGTGATTGTGAGACTCAGGCTGCCTCACCTCACGTCCCTATTGTCACTGTTAGGTAGATACTGGTTGGTAAGCCTTAGTGATTGTGAGACTCAGGCTGCCTCACCTCACGTCCCTATTGTCACTGTTAGGTAGATACTGGTTGGTAAGCCTTAGTGATTGTGAGACTCAGGCTGCCTCACCTCACGTCCCTATTGTCACTGTTAGGTAGATACTGGTTGGTAAGCCTTAGTGATTGTGAGACTCAGGCTGCCTCACCTCACGTCCCTATTGTCACTGTTAGGTAGATACTGGTTGGTAAGCCTTAGTGATTGTGAGACTCAGGCTGCCTCACCTCACGTCCCTATTGTCACTGTTAGGTAGATACTGGTTGGTAAGCCTTAGTGATTGTGAGACTCAGGCTGCCTCACCTCACGTCCCTATTGTCACTGTTAGGTAGATACTGGTTGGTAAGCCTTAGTGATTGTGAGACTCAGGCTGCCTCACCTCACGTCCCTATTGTCACTGTTAGGTAGATACTGGTTGGTAAGCCTTAGTGATTGTGAGACTCAGGCTGCCTCACCTCACGTCCCTATTGTCACTGTTAGGTAGATACTGGTTGGTAAGCCTTAGTGATTGTGAGACTCAGGCTGCCTCACCTCACGTCCCTATTGTCACTGTTAGGTAGATACTGGTTGGTAAGCCTTAGTGATTGTGAGACTCAGGCTGCCTCACCTCACGTCCCTATTGTCACTGTTAGGTAGATACTGGTTGGTAAGCCTTAGTGATTGTGAGACTCAGGCTGCCTCACCTCACGTCCCTATTGTCACTGTTAGGTAGA